GCCGCCGCGACCACCGCTGACCGCTGAGCTCCTCTCTCCGCCACCTGCAGCCGCCGCGATCACCTCCGCCCTCCTTGCGGCCGCCAAATCCGCTCGTTTCGGCATCTCCCCCTTCGAGTAAATCATTTGATCACCACCGCTGAGCTCCTCTCTCCGTTGAGCTCCTTGCGGCCGCGATCACCACCGCTGAGCTCCTCTCTCCGCCAGTTGGGGCCGCCGCGATCACCTCCGCCCTCCTTGCGGCCGCCAAATCCGCTCGTTTCAGCATCTCCCCCTTCGAGTTCGCTCAGGTCAACCCATCGCCCTCCTTTCTTCTTACTATAATGTTCTGTAAATTCTAACATTTACTGTTAAATTTTGAAATATTTGTTCTAGGGTTTAATTTTGAAATACTTTGCAAATAACGACACTCTTAAAAACAGCATGTTTATATAATCTCGATGGTAATTTTGGTAAAATATAGAACTGGATCTAGACAGTGAGACGGACATGAGATGGTTAATTGCATTACAGAGAACAAAAGTTGGCATTATAGAGAAATAAAACATGTTACAAACTTCTTATTCAAGGAACTTTTGAATGTTCCATAAGCGTAGCTGATATGAAGTCAGGTTTAATTAAAACATGTTACAAACTTCTTATTCAAGGAACTTTTGAATGTTCCATAAGCGTAGCTGATATGAAGTCAGGTTTAATTAAAACATGTTACAAACTTCTTATTCAAGGAACTTTTGGGTTTTACCAGTATTGTGCTTTAATTTTACCAGGTTTAATTAAAGCAAATTCATAAAGTATATGCTACTGCATGTTTGCAAATTATATGACAAAAAATACAATTACATCTATTATCCAATCAATCCAGAACCATAATTTCTCTTATAATTTGCAAAGTATATGCTACTGCATGTTTGCAAAGTATCTGCTACTGCATGTTTGCAAAGTATATGCTACTGCACTTATAATTTCTCTTAATTCCACAAAGAAATTAAGAGAGTTTTTACTGTGATTTTGCTTCAAACCATAATTTTTTAGGTGGTCCATGGCAAGAAAAGAGTTTTTACATGTGAAGAGAGGTCGACGGTGTGGAATTTATAATAATTGGGAGGACTGTAAAATGCAAGTTGATAAATTCCCAAATGCCGCATATAAAGGGTATGCAACGTACGAAGAGGCTTTGGTTGAATGGGATAAACACGGCATCGCTTGTGATTCAGCATCCAGTACAGGGCATGTCCAAACACCTTTTTATGTCCCGACACCTGATTCTGCATCGAGCTCAAGAACTACTAGTTCCCCCACCTATGCTTTTGCATTAGGTTCAGTGTTTACATTATTATTGTTTGTAATATGTATCGTTGTCGTATTTATTTTTTTCTCTCTTGCAAAAAATATGTGATTGTGAGAACTTATGTATCGAGTATCTTATGTGATTGTGAGATTGTGAGAACTTATGTATCTTGTGAGAACTTATGTGATTGTGAGAACTTATGTCATGTTTGATAGAAACTTATGTATCTTGTGATTGTGAGATTGTGAGAACTTATGTATCTTGTGGGATGTTTTATTACTTTGGCTTCTTTCTAACCCTGCTATGGATGTGCTATGCCTTCTTTCTATATTAGTGATTGTGGACTACAAGATGGGTAGTGTGATCTCAAGCGCAGCTACAATTGCCTTCATTTGCCTTTATGCGAAATCCTACTGAACGAATTCTGGGGTCCAACTTGCAGATGGGTAGTGTGATCATTCGAAATAGAATTGGGGAAATATGAAACTCTGATAATATATGGCGGTGGATAGTTTTTCTTATACAATCAATTTGTATTGAATTCTGCACTAAATTGATAAGAGATTTCATTTGCGACATAAAATTTAAGCTTATTGCTGGTTGAAGGCTTGTCGATGACCATAATTTGATGACCGTCAAAGTTCTATCCACATAAGGAGTGTTTGAGATGTTCTGTTTCACTTTTGTTTGTGTTTTAGGATGATTAGTAGTTAATATCGGTTTCTTATTGCTTCTATCGAGTTGGAAAATGGCATTGTTTTAACGCTGTTATGTGAGATTGCAACATTTGTGCATCTTTCTCAGTTAACGAATCCATGTGTATATTCGTACATATTGATTACTGTTGATTCCATTGGGAGATGCAGTCGGATGTTTAAACTTGAAACTAAGAACACCATGACTCGTATTGTTTCCATAGCAAGCTCATATTATTTCCAACAGTTGCATCAAACTAAAGCATGACTCGTACTTTATCAATGTATAGAGTAATGGACTACAAGACAACAATCAGCAACATACAATCAGCAACAAGACAGAGTTGTGGATAGAACATCGGTCTTAATACAAGCAGCAACAATCAGCAACATATAATCAGCAACATACAATCAGCATACACATCGGTCTTAATACATTAGTCTTAACACATCAGCAGCTACAAGACACAATCAGTCTTAATACATAAAATGTAGTAATACATTAGCAGCTACAAGACAGAGGTCTTGTACAAAATGCGCATCACTTGAGGGGCCAAGGCAGAGTTGTGGATGAACCTGAGCTGATTGTGCTCTTTCCTGTGTTAGTGGTAGCGCTGTAAGAGAAACACATGCACAAGCAAATAAATCGTTTGCTAAAAGTTAAAAATAGAGTAAATAAAGCGCTGTTAAAGACTGATACACAAAAATGCAAGCAATCATACGTACATTAATCATGAGATATGACTTTGTGAACAAACCAATACATCCACCACCCGTGCATATGTTTACCTGCAAATTATATGACAAATTAATCATGAGATATGACTTTGTGCTATCAAGTTTCATAAACTTATATAGGGCTAAAACTGAATAGAAACGAAAATGGTACCTTTGCAAGTTAACTTTACAACTAGTTCTATAATGCCCGAGTTCACCACATCTGCTACATATGCGTTTCTTCCTTTCTTTCTTTTCTTGTGCCTGTTCTAAACCTGACTGGATTCTAGTAGCATTGCGTGGACGACCTTTAGTCCTTGTAGGTCTATCAGGATCATGAATTGTTATCTGAGGAATGTTCTCTATTGTATGTGAAATGGGTGCGGAAGGTTGAGGAATATCCATAATTTGATCTTGAGTTTCTCCAACTTCTTCTTCAAGTGATTCCATGAAATTTGTTAGCACATCATCAAGTTGTTGCAGCTTCTCTTCTGAATCAAATGCAAGCTCGAGCACATTATTGAATTTTGCTCTTAAAGCCCAAGATTTCAATAAATTAATCTTCTCTTCACAGCTGGTGATGTTTCTTCCAAATACAATATTGCCAACCCCAATGTTACGATGCCTTGCATGTATGGTCCAACGGTGTAGGATGTAGTGGTCGGGTAATGAATCCATTTGCCTAGCCATCATTAGCGATAATATATGTCTACATACAACACCATTAGTTTCAAACAAAGCACAAGTGCAACAGAACTGGATCTGACTGGATTGTTCATAAGTAACCACCTCCCATTTTTCTCTATCTGTAAACTTACAGACCTTGTATTCAACAATGTCCCCATCTTTTCTTAATTCTTCACAGAACTCTGTACCAAATCCTTTGAATTCAGTATGGAACACATCAAACATATTGCGTGTATACATTTCTCCAGCTTGGATCTCAATTGGATGTCCAAGGAGCATAACCGGCTTTGTGTTCAGACTCTTAAAATCTTCATGGGCTTCACTTAAGCGACGATGAGTTACTGCTTTTTCATATTGTGTCACAAACTCGTGTAACTGAGTCTGTGAGTTAACATACCCATCAAAAAATGCATTAATACTTTCACTCCTTTGGCTCGATCTCATTCCAGCAAAAAAAGTGTCCTTTAGATAACACGGCACCCAGTGTTCTCTGCATTTGTAAACTATTTGCAACCATCCTTCCCCTTCTTCATTTATATCAAACTTCTCTTTCATCTCAACCCAATATCCTTCACATTGTTCAATTGAAGAACTATTGCACCACAAGCCCCAATACCTTTGAAACTGTTCACCATAACGAGATACCAAAGTAGGCAAATGATCAATAATATGCTTTTGCACCTGGTTCAATGCCGTGCATGCATTTCAGCCATTCTTCAAATAACCAAACAAAGGTATCTTCCTGTTCATCGGCTAATAATGCACAACCAAGTAAAGTGGACTGCCTATGGTGATTTACACCAGTAAATGGAGCAAATGGAAGACCGAACTTATTAGTTCTGTATGTCACATCAAACACAATAACATCACTGAATTGCAAATAAGATGCTCTTGATCTTCCGTCGGCCCAGAATACACTCCTCATTTGTCCACTACTGTCTACTTCTATTGCAAAATAAAATTCTGGATCATTCGCTGTCATACTCTGAAAATGTCGAATGATAGATATGCATTCATGACCAATATTGTTGACTCTTTGGGTTCTGATATGATCAATGCACTGTTGTGATGTCACAAGTTCACCGTCTCTTGCATTGGTTGCATTGATAACACGAGAAATAGTGGAAGGAGGCATACATTCTTCTCGCAGACTATCAATAAGTTTTTTACATCTTTGAGTTTTATGAAATTGTTGATGTGATCTGTGCATTTTTGCTTTGTCTGGACTACTCAACACATGATTTGTATGTTCTTCAACAAACCCCGTGACCTCCCACGATTTGTCCTCCAATAATTTAACTCGCATCATTGCCTTACATCCCACTCGGGTCTCTCGCCGAAGAGGGATCTCTATCTTGCCACTATTAGGTTTATATCCCTCCTTATCACAAACAAACTTTCTGTCTACCACTTCTCTAGTCTTGCGAGAGTAATTCACACTGCTCTTCCTTATTCCAAAACCCATCAACAATGCATAAGAGTTATAATAGTTATAAGCTTCTTCATGACTATTAAACTTCATTCCTAGTAGTGGTTTAGGAGCATTTACAGAATTGGTCGCAGTTTCAATTCCAATAACACTTGATTCTCTCATTCCGAACTCTACACTATCTGAATTTGTTTCCTCCATTCCAAACTCCTAAAGAAGAAAAAAAAATAATAATGACCACGTCAATTATTTGGGAACAAAAAAAAAACATACACAAAAAAAAGACACAAATAAATTTGCAAAATTAGCATATACATTACTGCAGTACCCCATTACTGCTTCAATGACTTCATAAAATTTGCAAAATTAGCATATACTTTATGAATTTCACTGTAGGATCAATAAAACTCAAGTTCATAAAACTCCGTTGAGATAAAATTAGCATAAAATTAGCATTGCACTGTAGGATCAATAGAACTCAAGTTCATAAAACCCCGATCCCAGTTAAATTTTTAATCACATCAACACTTAGCAAAAATGCTTTGTCTGGACTACATCAACAAAGCATTCATACAACACAATACAATCTGTATATAGGATTTTTTCTTAAATTTAACAGTAAATGTTAGAATTTACAGAACATTACAGTAAGAAGAAAGGAGGGCGGTCGAGAGAGGAGAATTTGAAATTTTACCTGTCAAGAGAGATCGAAAGGGGGAGTCGGGGTTGGCCTCACGAGACGAAACGAGCGGCGGCGGTCGCCGATTTCTCAGTCCGAGCGGCGGCGGTGGGTTGGCCTGAGCGAAATCTGGGGTCGATTTGGTGAGAGATCTGGGGCCGATTTCGAAGGGGGGG